TATGTCTGCCTGCCACTAAAATAAACACACGATTTTCTAAGCCAATGATTTGAATTACTAGGATTAACAGAGATTCAAACAAAGTTAAACTTAGACACGAGGAATTAAATAAATAAACAGTGACCTGTTTGTATTTTACACTTTAACATAAAACCAAAATGGTGGATGTAAATGTACGTAATATGAATTTTTTTACTAAAATGTACGTCTTATGTACGTTCTGAATAGGTCCACTGATCTAAAAAATAAATGGATAAACAATTCATACGGCTTGATTTGCATAATTTGTGCGAAAGTTTGGGGTCAATATTCTACGAACAGTTGTGCAACGGAACAGCCTTACGCCTGCGCAATGTCTTATCTTTCGAACAACTGTTCTAAGTTTCGAAATTCCTTCATTTTCATTGGCCAGATTTTGTGTACGCACAATACATGTATCTACTGCGCATGCTCACAGCTGTCCCAGTCAGTTGTTTTTGTTTAGATTTTGACCTCGTGAATTATCAGCATTAGTAGCGTTCTTTGTTTATCCATTTATTTTCGAGATCAGTGAATAGGTCATATGGACGTATGAACGTGAATATGACATAAAATGGACGTTTTATGTATGCAGTGTGTTTGTTCGGTTTCATTAATATTTTGCAGGACCTATAATATTATATGGATGAGTCAGGCACAGTCTATCAGTTATTGATAAGTAGGTAAAATGAATTAAATTGCATGTGTATACAGTCCATCATTTATTATCCTGCGGAATTCTTAAGACCAATTCGATGTCGAATTGCTGATTCTTATGCTAGTTCGGATCGACTCTCTGACGTAAGTAAGAGGTCCCGTTTCGGCTTTTCGATTTGCTGATCTTTGTTCGAATAATTGGCTATCCTTTTTTATTTTGAAGTGACAAGTTGTGGTGTCATGTGTTGTGTTTATGTTTTATGTTTGTCGTTTGTGTATGTAATCCTTCGTTATATTTCATCTTTTTCAACAAAGCCGCTGACTAATCACTCAACATGTTGAGTGCTGGTGAACGCGGTCATTCTCACATAAGGAAGACGGGAGTGTGGAGTTGAGAGACGAGAAGAAAAATGTAAATTTAAGTTTCTCCTACCCTACGAGTCGTGCGTCTAAAGTGAAGGTTTTGCTGTTGACGGTGCTGTCTTAAGATTTCGTTGCAACATAATAATTAAAAATTGAAATTATTTTCAACGCGAAAGGAATCTTTGGAAGTAAAAATAGTTTGAATTGAAGCGAAAAATAAATTATAAAATAATAAACATAATCTATCATCTATCATTCAAATTTGAAGGTCGATTTTTCTCTCGTTTTTCCTACCACCGTCTATTTGATGTCGATACGAAATTCGACAATAATACATATGAATCACTCTCCATCCGATATCGAAATAGGTATCGAATGACAGCTAGCGAGCCATAGCGACTTGTGACAAGATAAGAATCCCCTAGCTGATACTCCAATATGAGTTGGTGTGACTCCCTACGATTGTACGTCAATGGTCACCTGATCTCACACCTGTTTTTTAACGTATCCTTCCTTCTTTTGCTCCCCATACGGAAAGTGTCGACTTAAAAAAGCTTAACAATATAGTATTCGATGACCTATCCTAATATTGAGCACAATGCTCTCGTTGAATTTTGTTTAAATTATTATAGCCTAACCTAGTCTAGAGGTCATAAATAAAAAGCAGAAAAATATAATAACAAAAGTTTTATTTAGCAGAAAATTTACAACTTCATAATTTAGGTTCTACGTTCGGGTTTTGCAAAATAATGAGATGGTATCCTTTTTTGTTCAACAAATTGTGAAAATTCGCAAGGCAAACAAAGTCGATTAGGTATATCAGTTTCACCCTTACATCTGGGGCATGTATACTTAATGGGGATTGGCATTGTAAACAGTATCAAGTCTATCAACGTAATGCTTCATTTCAATGAGAAAGTCTCCTGTTATACAATTTTGAAGTTTGATAATTGTTACTAATGTGGCATGTTTTGAATAAACTCCTGTGATAACACTTGGTACTTTGGTAGACTTGGGTATCATTCGAATACTAGCTATTTTGAATCCTATTCGAATCCTGTATTGGAATCCTACGGAAAGAGACCCGATGTCTGTTGAATCAGAAAAAAGTATAGTGCAACTTTGTGCTCATTATTATGCTGCTTTGATATTTCAAAAATTCCGAGTGCTGTCCAGAGATATCCGGAAAACCTCGAAATTCGCCAGAAATGATTTTATTTTTCCAATAACGCTTGTCAATAATAGGCAATCCTCCTTACGCTTATAATCCTTGGTTTGCGTCAATATCGGCGCTTGTCAATAATGGGCACTCCTCTCGACGCTTATAATCCTTGGTTTGTGTCAATCAATAGCTGTCTTTCTCTGTTCCTTTACGTTACATCTTTCTTCTCTCTCGAGTAACGAAATTTGCCCGTGACGCGTTTTTCAAATCACTCTCCATTGTCGTTCAAATAGCAGAAAGCCGTTTAAGAAGTTTCTTTTCAAAAATTATTGAAATGAAAATAATCTTGATACAATTTTGGAACATAAATAAAAGTTGTAGGATATGTTAAGTGTGTTCTGGCGCTATTTGACTGTGAGTTGGTGGTATACAGAGATCAATGTTGGCTTCATCTCTGTCATTCTCAGGAGAATAAAACATAGTTTATACTAAAGCTTATTTTTATTCTCAACAATCATTGCCAATATGGTTAATAGGACTGTGAGTGCGACTACCATCTAAATTGTAGCAATATTCATAATCATAAAAATGAAATACGTCTTTATCGTCACCCTTGAATATTTTTTTTTTCAATAGATATTGAGTATTTAAATAGAAACAGATCCCAAATTTCCGCATACTTTTTTCCTCAACCCATGTTATTTGTGGATGAAATGAATTAAAAATTCCACCACATTGATTGCAGATGTTCGGCAACTCCCATGACGTTACAGGTTATCCTGGTACTGGCAGATATGAATAGGCTTTTAGAGGGTTATGATCCTATTGATACTTATATTTAGAGCTTAAAGTTGTTGGAGCGTCCAGCCTGTAAGAGACATTGTTTAGTATATAACACTGCAATTGAAATGATACACACCGCTTTCTTTTTCCTGGAATTCTGTGAACTTTTTGTTCAGGATGCCTGAAAACCCAAATGACCAAATTTATTTATGAGCAGGGGGTGGTAGTGGCAACCGGTATCTTTCTAGCACTTTAATGAGGCTATTTGGGCCCCTTATAGGCTACTTCCAGTTTCAACTTGAAAGTGGTTGTGTCATATTTTAGTCCTCTATTATGTTATTCCATAGTTACCGTGATTTGTTGAAGGAAAAACCAGTTCTAAAACCCCTTCTTCTCGTTTACGTGTACGCATGTTTGCTGAATTCGGTGGGTCGGTTGCTCAAGAATGTGCGAAGTTAGTTTTCTCATATCCTTGCGCTATTTAACTGTTTGCTCTAAATTATATTTTCGCAAACGCATTTTCTGCTATCCTGGTAATTGTGTCATAAAATCATTCAGTCCTCCGTCCGTCCTAATACTGGATAGGTATGCCACAGCTAATTTCAAAACGTGCTTCACGCTGATAGGGTCCTGCTTTGATGAAAGCCGCTATGTTGCAATTCGGTTCTTGAAAGATGTTTTGACAAGACTAACGTCTTCCTCCTGCTCCACCAGGTGTTGGCTCGGTGCTAGAGACACCGAAGATGACCAACCCATTGATTTATCGGTGCCTCCAAATCGCAATACTCACACCACCGGCATGTGGCTGATATTGAAGGTCCTGAAAATAATTGAATTATATTTAAAAAATTCGCTTAATGTCAACTTACCAGCAAAAGTCTAGCTTGCTTCATCATGGGGGCGGCGGGATCTCCAGCCTTTCGTTTGGAGGCTCTCTTGGAGCTGGGTGTTTAGGTGGTGTTGGATAGCCCCCTCTGCTTCAAAAATCACACCACATTGGTTACAGATCTTGGAAGATGATTAGCAATCCCATGACGTTTCAGGTTATCTCCTTCCTGGTGAACCATTTTGTGCACAAAATTAAAAATTCGCTGTTTATGGAGGTTTGTTTTAAAGTAAATGAAAAAATAAAACCAGTTTAAATTGGTTAAAGAACCTTCCTAAATTTTAGAAAAAGAAATTTGAGTTTTGTGCAAATGTAAGTGAAAAAGTAAATTCAAGTTGCTGCGTAAAAAACTATTGGAATTAAATTAAGAAATAGGTAGGTACTCAGGGTTGTCTGTATTTTTAAAAAACAAACAATATGTTTATGTGTTAAGGAAAATAAAAATAATTCAATAATCGAGGTTTGTGTTAATTTAAAATATGTCTCAGGGCATGATTTATCCTACATCACTTAGATATTTAAAAATAGTACTTACAGTTTTTCGAAACCGACACTTATCACCCAAGAAACCAAACTTTGAAAATCCAGGTTCAAAGTACTGGTACTGGATGCTGCGTTTTTTGTACAAAGAATAAAAATTGAATCCTCATCTTTTACAGGTAACAATAACAATGTATCCACTGAAATTTTGTATTGCATAGGGTATTGGCTCATAAAATGTCAACGATGCTAATTTAAATCTATTCTTTTAAATTTTGATAAATTGTTTGAATTTGTCACCTTTTAAAATAAAAATGGACATATTAATACCTATCTAACTTAATAATTACGCCTTAAACTAAAAAATTATCTTTAAAATGTGTTGTTGTTTTTCGCGGGCGGCTTCTGCGAATGGTCCTGATATAATTCAGATAAAAAAACTGCCGATTAAGCGTTTGCATTTAGCGGTGTTTTTTGTATGTGATACTTCGAAGTTTAAATCGGATTTTATAATAACAAGCTTCTTTCAGTTTGCTCAACCTCGTCACCAGTGGAAAATATAAAATTATTGTACAACAATTATCATTTTAACCAAGTAAGTAAATATCTTATATACTAATATCAATCAACAACAAGACCTGTTTTTTATAGCAAAGGATTGAAAACACTGAGAAAATTACAAGACCTGAAGCCTCATAGAAAGTGAAATTTCCAATATTTTGACAGCGTTTTTTGTATGTTATGTTGTTAATTCGAAGTTTGAATCGGATTTTATAATAATTAAGCTCTTTCAGTCTTGTTTGAGACTCGTCAACAACAATAAAATTATTGCACAACAATTATCATTTTAACCAAGTAAGTGAATATCGATATCGATAGAATTATGGAATATTTTAGATATGGATTTGAAATCAATTAACAAGGCCTGTCTTTTTATAACAAAGGATCAAAAACACTGAGAAAATTATAAGACCTGGTATAAAGTGAAAGGTCCCAATATTTTCTACGATAGAGACCTCAAAATAATTGCAAATCTTTACTGGAACCAATAAACTATACAAATTAAGGTAGATCATAAAACTATTGTACAGAAATTATTATTTTAACCTAGTAAGTAAATATCTTATATACTTAGGTAATCGATACAATTGATGTGGCATATTTTTAGCTATGGATTTGAAATACTCATCGAATTTGACGATAACGCAGTGTTTCTCCCAAGACGTACCACCAAAATGATTGGATCATATTAAGCAGTTTATTGATGAAAAATATTCGCTTTTTGAAATCGTTGTCTTAAAAAATGTATGTTTTTAATAAAAAAACGAGGCCTCTTTCCCATCAAACGTTGGTTCCAACCAAGGATAATACACACTACTACTACAGGATAGCCTATCCTCATAAGGCCTGTGTGGAACAAATCCACTCTCTCCCCAACGTTAAATCACCAGTTGTGACGTAAGCAGCATGTTATTTCTCGCCTTGACGTAGGTTGTTTAAACAGCTGATGGCTTAGTTATGGCGTCGTAAATGGTAACACACGAGGTCAATAAGCAATCCTGTAGGTGTGTTTCATCCTTGAGTTCGAACACCCTCTACCAGGTACAACATGAAGCTAGCTGCTGGACCCTCATAGTTACGTCACCACCACAGCATCCTGTTATAAGACACATCGAACTTGTCACATGTACGCTAGATGGTGCCACCGACACAAACTGACGTAACCCACGAGACCCAGGTCGAACCATGAATCGAACTTTGCACTATGTACTCTAGATGGTGCCAAGGACGTGACCCAGGTCGCTATGACGTCATCACAGAACCCGAACCATGAATCGAACTTTGCACTATGTACTCTAAATGGCGCCACAGACGTGACCCAGGTCGCTATGACGTCATCACAGAACGCGAACCCTGAATCAAACTTTGCACTATGTAGTCTAAATGACTCCACGGACGTGACCCAGGTCGCTATGACGTCATCACAGAACGCGAACCCTGAATCAAACTTTGCACTATGTACTCTAAATGACTCCACGGACGTGACCCAGGGCGCTATGACGTCATCACAGAACCCGAAACGACTCAAAACTCCCGCTATGACGTCATGACGTTTGACAGGTGACGTTTGACAGGTGACGTTTGACAGATGACGTTTGACAGGTGACGGTTGACAAAATGGCGGGAAAACATTTCCCCCCACCCCTTTTTCTGGTACCCATATTAAAATCCGGGGGCCCCTTTTTGGGGGGCGCAGCCCTGCGGGCCCCCTTTTTGGGGGGCGGAGCCCTGCGGGAGCAGGTCCCATGGCGCCATCTGTCAACAAGATGGGGCCATGGCGGCGCATCCACCTTCGTGTCAACGACGGCGCATCCACCACGTGTCAAGAATGAAAGATTGAGGTTATGGTCGGAATTTGGTCCTAGAACCCCCTTTGATTATCTACTCTAGTGTGTGAAGAGAAATTCTACGTCTTCTGAATAATGCGTAAAGTGAGTACTTCACGCACGGTAGTGGAAGAAATTTGTGATTGTCGCACTCGCCTTTGGCTCGTGCGTCAAAATTCACATTCGTGAAAAAAGGTTCACTTTACACACTTGTTGCATAAATAACTATTTTTCATAGGTAACTTAAGTTTACCTAACAAATTCTTGTATATCAGTAAATTCTAATTCCTTCAGAATGTCTCTTTTTATGCACATCAATGTTAATGAAGACAGGCGTTCCTTCTGCATTGTTTGCTCTATATTTATTTTTACTTTAATAAATTTTGCGAAACTGACGCGAAAGTACGAAGGCGTAGAAGTGCCACATTTAAAAAAAATTATTCACTTCGGCTTCAATGTCGAAAACTCGACTTTAAAGTCGAAGTACTAAGAATTTCGTCTTTAATGTCAAAATTTCGAGAAAAAAGTTGAAATTTTGAGAAAAAAGCCGAAATTTTGACTTTAAGGTTTAAAATCAACCCCTATTTTCTGAACCTTGTGTTCAAAAATTCCAAAAAAAAATATATGTTTTATGGTTATCGATATACTTTAATCCATAATTTTTTAAGCAAATTTGACTCGCCATTTTTGAGTTATATCGCAAAAACTGAAAAAAAAAGTAGTTTTTCACCATTTATTTCAAAACGAATAGATGAAGTTTCCCATTATTTTTATTACGAACTGCTATTGCAATTCTACGCGACATATATTTTTTTCAAATTTTTTGTAGTTTTCTCGCTGCTGCAAGAATAGTTGGAAATACGGCTGTAGCTACACTGTTTTAAAAAAATCTGACGGATAAACGTTCAAAATTATTTGTGTTGGTCTATACTACAACCCTGTTTATGTAAAACAGAATAATACTTCGAATTTCCGCAAAAAAAAAGAAAAAACGTTCCATCATACAATTTAACCAAATGCAGATTTCTATTTTTTTTTGACTATCAAGTAAGGGCACACTATAGGGGTGACAGTACTGACATCTCGCGTTGCTGTAATAAACTATAGGCCTGACTTTAAACCTTAAAATCGAAGTCTCAAAAATTTCGACTATAAGGTCGAAGTACCAAAAATTTCGACTTTAAAGTCGAAGAACCAAGAATTTCGACTTTGAAGTCGAAGCACCAAAAATTTCGACTTAAAAGTCGAAGCACCAAAAATTTCGACTTCAAAGTCGAATTTTCGTACCTACCAACAAGTCAGCGACTCAAAATACATACAGGGTGACAATTTAAAAAGTAGCAATCGGGAATATCTCTTAGACAAAAAATTCTATCAGGAAGATCTCAAATACGTATTGGGAGATTGGAAGGGGCACCAAAATGAGGGACTCTTTGAGTCACCCCGCCTAGCCTCTTAGGGGGAAGCTACCCTAAATTATTTCTTTTTTAATACGAATCCTCCTTGCACATCGTTCGATAACTCGTTGATATCCCTTTACAGTCTTAAAATTTTAAATCGGACGATTAGTTTTTGAGATATCGGTGTTTAAAAGTAAGCATATTTCCAAAGCGTCAATTGTATTTCAGATTATTTAATTTTATTTAGGAAAGAGTCAATTGTATTTCAGATTAGTTAATTTTATTTTGGAAAGCATCAATTGTATTTTAGATTCGTTGATTGTATTTCAGAAAACGTGAATTATATTTTAGAAATTGTCAGATGTATTTCAGAAATTATCAGATAATATGGATATAAGAACAGATTTTCTAAAATCAACACAAGCAAGGCATATAAATAGGTGAACCATTATAAATTTCATTTAATATACTACATTGATAACATCTGAAATACCTACATTTGACGAATTCTGAAATACAATTTACAATTTCTCATCTACAAATAAATAATCTGAAACACAAATGATATTTTCTGTAATACAAGTGACCAAACTGAAATACAAATGACTTTTTCTGAAATACAACTGACCAAACTGAAACCAAAATTACGTTTTCTGAACTACAACTGACAAAGTTGAAATACAAATAACACTTTCTGAAATTAAACTTACACAACTGGAATACAATTGAAGCATTCTGAACTAGAATTGATGAATCTGGAATCTGAAATACAAGTGATACATTCTGTAATACTTATGGAAAAGGTGTAGATAAGAGAATTCTGCCATAATAACCCCCTAAGGGGGAAGGTAGGCGGCTCAAAAAATGCCCCATTTTTGTTCCCACTCAAATCCCCCGATACGTATTTGAGATCTTCCGATAGTATTTTTTGTCTAAGTTGCCGGGTTTATTCACCTTTTGATAAACTGTCAGATGTCAGGTATGCAATCTGACGGATAAAAACGTAATCTGTAATCCCATTGGTCGGCCAGTTATCTTGCAGATAGTTACCAGCAAATTTATCTGAAGATGAATAAACCAGGCTTAAGAGATATTCCCGATTCCTACTTTTTAAATTGTCACCCTGTATGTATTTTGAGTCGTCGTACGAAAATTCGACTTTAAAGTAGAAATTTTTGGTACTTCGACTTTAAAGTCGAAATTTCGACTATTCTCTCGAAATTTCAACTTTTTTCTCGAAATTTCGACATTAAAGTCGGAATTCCTGGTAGGGTACTTCGACTTTAATGTAGAAATTTCAGTCGAAGTGGATTATTTTTTTTTATATGTGGCACTTCTACGCCTTCGTACGAAAGACTAGTGCATTAGTGCATTTGATATTTATTGTTTGCCCACGGGCCCTCAACCAGCATAAGCCTCAATTTCGAAAGTAGGGCCCCTCCGGGGCCCGGGGCCCGGGGCTGCAGCCCCGTTAGCCCCGTTAGCCCCGTTAGCCTCGTTAGCCCCGTTAGCCCCGTTAGCCCCGTTAGCCCCGTTAGCCCCGTTAGCCCCGTTAGCCCCGTTAGCCCCGTTAGCCCCGTTAGCCCCGTTAGCCCCGTTAGCCCCGTTAGCCCCGTTAGCCCCGTTAGCCCCGTTAGCCCCGTTAGCCCCGTTAGCCCCGTTAGCCCCGTTAGCCCCGTTAGCCCCGTTAGCCCCGTTAGCCCCGTTAGCCCCGTTAGCCCCGTTAGCCCCGTTAGCCCCTTCTTGATCCTGGCATGATACGGCGCAAACACCAGATTTCCCGTTGTGGGCGGGACTGTCCCGATTTTCATCAAAGAGTAGAGATGGAGAATAGAATAGCAACATAAAGTTATAGAAAGAACATAGAACTGACCACAAGTAATGAAAGGACAGAATACTAATACCACTTGTATAATTTTTATACAAAGTTGTGTAAATTTAAATTACATGATACTGATACTACCACACGGAACGGAATGACCATTAAACACGTTTGTACTTCCGAATTCCCCATTCCCCACGAGAGCTCCCATGGGTGCTCCGCACCCATAAGAGGTGGCTCGATGCCCCCATGTAGTCGGCGCCAGTGCCTCCCGTCCCGCAAGGCTGGCTACGCCACTCTTGAACTTGGCACTTGACGTAGCATAAAAGTAATACCGATCCTGCTTTATAAGTTCAAGCGGTCGAGATAATAAGTCGACATAAATGAGTTGACATAAATAAGTCGACATAAATAAGGCGACATAAATAAGTCGACTGAATAAGTCGACCGGTCGACTTAAAAAAAAAATCAACTTGGTCCTCCAGCGCTTCCGTATTTAACTGCTCTGTGTGCTTGCTGGCCACGTGATTACGGTTCCGCTCTAGCAGAGCAAATACCGAACGCAAGGTAAGTCGTCAGCTCTTTAAATAGTCATTTGTGTCTTACTCCCCCACCATCAAATTCTGGGATACTCGAAGATCTAGAACACTTAATTTCTTCTGTGAGAACAGATCTTTACCACATTTAAAATCGGCGAAAAAATCAACTAGCACAGCCTGAATCGCAAGCATTCCATCGAGGTCTGCGGCTGACGTCATCACTATAAGCTGCTGATAGTGACGTCACTCGAAGGCCCAGAATGTGATAGAGAGAGAGAGTTAAGGGAGTATGGTATGACACAAATGACACATCACATAACCCAGAAACCCAGCATAATCGATTATGATTGATTATCCTCGCGAAAAATTGCCTAATGTCACAGTATGAAAAGGTTTTTTCAGTCACTGTACCTAAATCTACACTTTCGCAATAAATCATTCCAAACAGTGGCGACAATGAGAATATTTATGCTAATTAAATATGAATATAGAAGTGAGACATGCCACACGCCCCCTCCGCCATATTCTTGCCAATTTTAGATAACGGCAATTCTATGGCCACTCTAGTCTAAAAATCCATCCCATAAATGGAAATTCTGGAGTCAGCTCCATTACTCCGTACTTTATAGCCAAACGTGCACGTAGTGACTCTATTACCTAAAAAAAGTAACTCGAATGGTCGGAGTATTTAGTGCAAGGAGTGAGCGAGCCGAATCCAGCCTTTTAGGAGCGGGTAATTATAAAACGTTTGCAAACCTGGTTAACCGGTCGATACAACGTCCGTCGACAGCGGTTGACAGCAAGGAGAATAAACTTTCTAAGGAGTGCTTATCGGCCTCGTTTTTGGTAATCGGCGCCATATTGGTTTTCAACTGTTTCCAACCACTGCTGACGTCATAATGCGAATTCACTTTTTCCGAATTTGAAGTATTATTTTCCGAATTTGAATTTACTTTTTCCGAAATTAACTTTACTTTTTCTGAAATTGATTTGACTTTTTCCGAAAATGACTTTTCATTTTCCTAAATAAGAGTTACTTTTTCCGAAATTGAGGTTGAAATGGTGTAGTTCCGTAATTTCCAGCCAGATTATAACATAGGTAACCCTTGGTGCAAACAGCCTACGTCAAGGCGAAAAACGCCATGATGCTTACGTCACAACTAGTTTTTTGGAGTTGGGAGGTAGGGGGGGAATTGTTACACATGGGCCTTATGAGGATAAGCCATCCTTAGTAGTGTGTATCATCCTTGGGTTGACAGTGGTTGCGTGCTTGCTGAAAATTTCGGTTTCAAACGGAACA